TATATTTATTTATTTATTTATTTATTTTTACTGAGTTCAAAAGTAATAGGATCTGACCCCAGCTCTCTGGCTACTAATCCTACTAATTGTATTTGTCCTGTTCTTTCTTTCAGAACTCCAACATTTGCTGGTGGTTTGTTCTCTATATCTAAGACCTATTTTGAGAAAATTGGGACCTACGATGACAAAATGGAGATATGGGGCGGCGAAAATGTCGAGATGTCTTTTAGGGTTAGTTTTAGCTTTTTAGAATTCACCTACAACTGTAATAATGAGATGTTAAACGTGTATGTGTTTTGTGCTGTCAGGTGTGGCAGTGTGGCGGACAGCTGGAGATAATCCCCTGCTCTGTCGTGGGTCATGTGTTCCGCACCAAGAGTCCTCACACCTTTCCCAAAGGTACAGAGGTCATTACACGTAACCAGGTGCGCTTGGCTGAGGTGTGGATGGACGACTATAAGCTGATTTATTATCGACGCAGCCAAAGTGCAGCTAAAATGGCCAAAGATGTAAGAACTACTTTTACTTTCAGAGGATTAAAATATTAACCTTGTGCTTGTGGTTATACAGTATATCTACTGTAAGTGTAAGCAAGAGCATATGACTAACTGCATGACTTTTGTTTCCTGTATGGTTGTGTAGAAAACCTACGGTGACCTATCTGACCGTTTGAAACTCAGAGAAAGCTTACAGTGCAAGAACTTTTCTTGGTACCTAACCAATGTCTACCCAGAAGCCTTTGTCCCTGATCTTACCCCTGTCAAGTTTGGAGCTGTAAGTCAGTTTAAAAACGCAACATTCATGAAATCTCCGTATTAGAAGGATTTCTGGAGGATTAAGTGACACTGAAGACTGAGTAATAGCTGCTGAAAATAATTTATAATATTTCACAGTATTACTGTTTTTACTGTATTTTTGATCAAATGCATGCAGCCTTGATGAGACTTCTTTCATAAACTTTTACAAATCTCACTGACCCCAAACGTTTATACTGTAGTGTACTGTATATGTTTATATTATATTATAATATTAGAATGAATAATTAAATCCTGATATTCATGTTACATTTTCAGGTCAACTCTTCACCTTAATCTATAATAATTTAAATAGCTGTGATTTGATAGTTTCACCTCATTCACATGAAAAACTTGTTTACATTTCTTCTTGATGTTATGCTAATTTTAGGAGCAACTACTGAAGAATCCATCCTCTGGAAAGTGTCTCCATAAGAAAGGAGACAAGATATTAATGAGCCCCTGCAATCCAGAAGACCATCACCAGCAGTGGGCTTTCAGTTGACCTCACACTCCAATTGAGGAGCAAGGACATTCACTCCCATAAGACCCACGAGGGAGGGCCAGCAGCTACAGCTCAGGCCGACAAACTCACTGCAGGCCTGAGCGGATGCACTGGGAGTGTGTTGGATAGTTCATATCCATAAGCTCCCAAAGACATTATGATCAGACTGGGGTCAGGATGCTCAGGGAAGACAGAGTGGAGATCATGCACATCAAACCACTGGAGCATCACAGAGTGAACAATCCAGCAGCAAGATTGTTTACTTGATGCATTTTATTGCCTTATTGATGATGTTTACTGCTGCTTTTAAATGGTGTAGGTTTTATTTATTTTTAAAGAAATGGAAAATTAAATATTTTTGGAACATTGTTAGTGTTAAGGCCACTGAATGGCCAGCCTTGCCAACGATACATGTGATGTTTGTATGATCCCAATCATTTGCACATGCTGCAGGGGATGAGGGTTTTCTTCAGCTCTAGTAAACTGTCACAAGACAGCATTGGTTTTAGATCCTTCCCTTGTGTTTTTGAAGTCATCAGTATGTATAAAGCAGCATGTGACTTGAATTGCTTGATTGTTTCAGTGTGCTGAGGTCTTTTGTGGGAAATCATGCTCTAATGATGTATACATGTAATTATCTGTTTCGTCCTCTATAACTCTACGTTATTATTCTTTATAAATTGAGTACAGATTTATTCTTCAATAATTGGAGATTTCAAATATTTGAAATTTTTTGATGTATAAAATAAATATACACTCCCAGATCATTTGCTGGTGTTGTTTTTGAAATCCGTCCGTCCATCCATCCAGACCATATAGATATGGTCACCATAGTTTCCATCAAAATAACAGTTCATGATTTTTAGGTCTGCTGTCCTGCAGTATTTAGCTCCAACACTGATCAAACACACCTGCTTGTAATATTCAGGTAATCCTGAAGACTTGAGTAGCTTGTTCAGGTGTGTTTTTTTGGGGTTGGAGCTAAACTCCTACAGGAGCAGAATTAAAGAACTGGTAGCCTGCTGCACAATGAAATTGTGATAACTTGATATTGACCACTATTGTGATCAGCAAAAGAAATAAAGCAACAAAAAGCTTCCGAAATCTTACACTGGAGTTCCTTTATTCTTTTTCTTCTTGGTTTTACAATAGTAGTATTTCTAGTTGCTATGGTATTTTTAGTGGAAATTATGGCAGTTGAGATATTTTTTTTGTCTGTTTTGCGTTTATATTACAGCGGCCTTTTTGAATAAAATAATTTATAAGGTGGTGTAATGGTAGCTTTGTGGCCAACGGTTGTGAGGCCAAATCTGTAATTTCTCTTGTTCACCGATAGGTGGCAGCCGGCGTCATAATTTTGTTTTGGAGGATTGTAAAAACAGGTAACGTTAGTAAAAATAAACTGAAACTGAAGGTTGTTCCTGAAAGTACAGGTAAGGTAACATGCTTTCATTGATAACGTTCTCCTACAACGTGGCGTGAGAGTTAGTGCTGTAAAACCAGCACGTTTAATTCTATCTTTAGAGCTGGTTATCTCAGTAAATTTCAAACTGTTTGTATAGACGCTTATCTCTATTTACCAACTATTTACCGTGGTTACCATAGTTTCCGCCAAAACAACTGATTAATGTTGTAAAATCTAGTTCATCTTAAATGGCTAGTAAGTTATCAATATCAATTTCACAAAGGTATTTTATGCCAGCTGCTTATTTACAATACATTCTGTTTCTATGCATACCTCAGGAAAAAAATTGCTTATGTTCTAACATCCAGAAGGTTTAAATGTGGATTTTAACCTCAGTTTTTTTTTTTTTGTAAGTGATGTGCTTTAAGTCATTGTATGTTAAATTTAGATTTTAACATGAGAATTCATGTAATTTGGCAAAGTGTGTTAAAGCTGTTGTCAGTATTTACTGTTTAGTAAGACCTGATTGGTTTTTCTTATGCCATTTGATTGTTGGTTGGATTTGAGATTGATTGTTTGCACCTGTGAATAATTACCTATTTATACTTCTCCTCACCATGTAAGAAATCATACCTTGACGAAGGCTTTTAGCCGAAACATTGGTTAATCAAATAAAGTAGGCCTAGTATTTTTGTAAGTGTGTGTGGTTTTATATCCTCTCTACATAGATTTGGTACCTTCTGACCTGCACCTCGGATGGTGTGCGTGTGCTTTATTATTTTATTATGTTCTGACATCAACACAGGTGCACAGACAGTACTGAATGCTGTGATCCAAGAGGAATTGAAATATTTATTGTCCCCAAAGGGGAAATTTGTAGTGGACTCGATAGCCAACATTTCGTCAGAACCTGATTCATTAAAAATTTAAAACCGTATGCATACACAATATACACATCAACCATTCACACAGATACAGAAAGGCATAAACATCACTACTCGGTATTCAACAGTCTGATTGACACTGGTATAAAATAATTTTTGAACCTGTTCCGCTTACACCAGAGGGTAAGAGTTCATAACAGGGATAGAGTGCATTTAGGATCCTTTTTGCCTCATTCAATGTACATTGCTCATACAGAGTTTGAATACTGGGATAGTCTTTCAGTCCTATCATTTTCATAGCAGTTCGAACAATATACAGTATCTTTGATTTGGATTTTACAGAAAGATTACTATACCAGGTGGACAAACCATACCCGATAACACTCTAATACAGACTGATAAAAGAGATGCATAACTTTCCTGCCAACTCCATAAAACCACAATCTACGTACATTCAATGTACATTGCTCATACAGAGTTTGAATACTGGGATAGTCTTTCAGTCCTATCATTTTCATAGCAGTTCGAACAATATACAGTATCTTTGATTTGGATTTTACAGAAAGATTACTATACCAGGTGGACAAACCATACCCGATAACACTCTAATATAGACTGATAAAAGAGATGCATAACTTTCCTGCCAACTCCATAAAACCACAATCTACGTTGATAATACAATCTCTGGTGAAGTCTTTCACAAACCCAATTAACATGAGTGTCCCACGTAAGAGATTTATCTATATGTGCTCCTAAATACTTGTATGATTGCACCTGTGTAATTTCTTGATTGTGAACAGATACAGGCATATGATCACCAATACCCTTAGGATCAAAGATGATTTCCTCTGTTTTCTTAGTGTTTACTTTAAAAAAAAAAATTAGTATCACACCACTCAACAAATGAGTTGATCTCAGAGTAATAAACAGAAGAAGAGTCTTGTTTTTTCAACAGACTTAAAATTACTGTTTCATCTGAGTACTTCAGAACAAAGTTCTGTGGGTGCCTACTTGAGCACTCATTAGTGTATAGCGTAAAAAGAACTGGTGAACTAACACAGCCCTGTGGGACGCCAGTACTACAGTATTTTTCTTGGGACAAACTGTTATTTACTTTAACTCTCTGAGTTCTGTTTGTTAAAAAGGAGTGATACCACTGTATAATTGTAGGATTTACACCTAACTGCTTTAATTTTTTAATTAAGACATACGGTTGAATAGTATTAAAAGCTGAACTAAAATCAATAAAAAGCACACGTGCATACGCATCAGAATCCTCCAAATGATTTAAGACCAAATGCATCAAGCTATTAATAGCATCACCTGTTCCCCTTCCTTTGCTATAAGCGAACTGGAGTGGATCTAATTGATTACTAACATTTTCTCTTAACATTGACACCATACACTTCTCAAAACACTTAATCACTACTGATGTAAGAGCAATTGGTCTAAAATCATTGTTTCCCCCAGGACGAGCCGTTTTTGGCACAGGAATTATAGAGACTTCTTCCAGATTGCTGGGACTACTTTAGAATCAAGACCTTTGAAATATAGAGCACCATACTGGTGACAATTCCTCTGCACAGACTTTTAATAAAAAGGACGAGATGGCATCAGGACCAGCGGATTTCTTCGAACACATCTGTTTAAATAGTGATTGAACCTGGTCACAATCAATCAACAACCTATTATCCCCCAAGTCAGTAGTAGATATAGAACTCTACTACACTTCTAAGAGGAAGTACTTTTTTCTGCCTTGCTGTAAACGTGTAACGACTTTAACTTTCTCTTTTTGGTGTAGTATGAGATAATCTGTTTGCTGGCTCATATGACATATCCGGAACTATCATTGCGTGAACGATTCTTTTGTGACTCATCATTGTCAGTAATGTGAAAACGTGCATGCTTCAGCTGAACTGCTGGAGTTTAAAATATTTAGCAAAAAAAAAAAAAACGGCAATTATTTTGAGCGGTAATTATACATTTGTGAAAAAAAAACGAAATTATTAAATTAAAAAAAATTAAATTAAACTAATACTTACATAAAATAAATATACAATTAAAAATATAAAAATATTTTCATAACATTTTTGAAAAAGTGTGCTGTTTTGTATTTTGAGTAATATTATAGTCATGTCATGTTTGTGGTGATCATTTATCTGTGTGTGTGTCTAGGTGAAAGATGAACATTGTCAGTGATGTTTAACAGAGGCTCTAACACAAGCAGGGTTTTGGAATCCCTCCTCGAGGGAAAAAGATGATATGAGAAATGCAAGCTGTAGTTTTGCTGCTGTGATCAGTTGTAAAAAAAAAAAAAAGGATCCAGTTTGTGCAGATGTTTTGGTCTCCTGGCTCTGTTGTTGTGCGAGTGCAGTTTATGGAAGATTTGGAAGGAGAGGAGGGTGATGATTTTCTGATTTTTTAATGTTATTTCACAGAAATGATCCTCTAACTCTTTTTTTCCCCCTTTCACATTCTGAAGTGCGGCACAGCTGTGAATGCATGTGAAGCTGATGTTTCTGTGGACATATTTAATTCTTACAGATCTGGTTGTACCGGTGCCGCCAGAAAAAGCCACAAATGCTAAAAAGATGACCAAGAGGTGTGGAATGTACTTCAGTCTCGAGGATCTACTGCTTAAGATGTAACCAGTAATTCTGAAGCACAGATACAATTTTGTCATAGATCATACAGTGCTAGATTTTCATCCTACTTCTCCACCAGGTTGAGCACAAATACAAACACACACAAGCACACACACCCTCCCACCACACACTCAAACACAATCATGCACACATATATCTGCACTCATACAGTATACATGTATACATGACTATGACAGTTTTATGTGACCTAATAAATAAATATAGACTGTAAGCATTGAAATAAATGATAAAATCTGAAGACTATTTAATATTTCTGTTCAATAAAACCATTCAAGTGTAAATTATATCATAATTTTAATAAAACATACAAAATAAGGCACAACCTATATATAGGCCCATAGGCAGAATTATACCCTTTGGTGCATGACGTCTACTGTAGTGGACAGGTATATTTTCTGTCAGAAAAAAATGTGCAAGAAAAATATTGTTAAAATCTGGATGAAACTATTTCTGACATCCTATTTAACTGTTTTTTCGTACCTGTCTGGTTTTCTGAGAATAAAATTATTTAACACTTATTGCCGAGGTACATGGTGCATCCCCTTTTCCTGCCGCCATTTTGAATATATTATGCAATATCTCAAAACAAAAAAAATAGATAAAAAGACAACAATTAAATGGAATCGTAGACAACACTTTGGGGGTTCGCCAGTTGGTGGTTGGGACATGATGCTACATCTTAAATGGTTCAAAATGGCTTCCAAATAGCTGTCCACTGTAGTGACCACGATGCATCAGAGGGTTAATGTAGTGTGTGTAGTGCATCTGATAAGCATATCAAGGTAAGACGACTTTTGTATACATTCATGACACTTTATTTGGACAAACACACATATATTAATTAATGATTTTGAACATCAAACCCATTGACATCCTGTCTATGTACATTCCACTTGACTGGAATGAGTCCACTCCCTTAAAACATGTCATTCACTCTTGTTTGTGACCGCCACTCCCATGCACAAGCCCTAGACAGACAAACCAGTGCTCTCACTAATGTGCAAAACCTCAATTAAATAAACGTGACCCAACAGTTAACATTATCTGTCAGATTGCACTAAAATGTTGCATACTTTTTTGCACTGCAAAAAAGCTATAAAATCAGTGAAATGAACAATATTATGACAGATCTAAAACTGATCCATCACCCACATATGTTAATATCTCTATTCTTGATATTATATCTCCCTTATAATGAAGTCCTCATGAAGAATGCAATAAAGAGGTCATCTGTTAGGTTGATCATATCTGTTTTGTTAGCTAGGTTTATGGCATTGTTGAATCCTCGATGCCCCTGGCAAAGAGACGCACCAGCTGGCCATGAACTCTGTGGAAAGAGAGTCATATCAGGAAACATTCAAATGAGAAGATGCAAATTAGAAGTTTTTGGTTTCAGACTCATAAACTTCGACTTGACATCATATATCAAATTTCATACGATTTGCTTACTTCATTGGAGCCAGATAATAAACATGTAAACTGCTGTTCAAACATCTGGGGTCGAAATATGTTTTATTGTTTTAAAAGAAGTCTCTCATACTAACAAAGGCTGCATTTATTTGATCAAAAGTATAATAAAAACAGTAATATTATGAAATATTACTACAATTTACAATTACCCTTTTCTATTTGAATATATTTTTTATGATATATATGATATGATGGCAAAGCTATTACTCCAGTCTTCAGTGTCACATGATCCTTCAGAAATCATTCTAATGTTCTGATTTGGCACTTAACAAAAATGTCCTATTATCAATGTTGAAAACAGGTGTGTTGCTTAGTAATATTTTTAACCATGATTTTTTTTCAGGATTCTTTGAAGAATATAAATTTCAAAAGAACAGCATTTATTAATGTCTTTACTGTCACTTCGATCAATTTAATGCATCCTTGCCGAATAAAAGTTATTTCTTAAAAAATAAAAAAATAAAGTACTGATCACAAACTTTTAAACAAAAGTGTATGATGTAGTGTACTTTTTCAATATAAATGTCAGCATTTAAATGGTTTTAAATGTTCAATTATGCACTTGACACATACACACACACACACACACACATATATATATATATATATTTGTGTGTTAGTTTTCCAATTAAATAGCTGACTTGCTCAGCAGACTGATCTCAGTACCTGCATGAGATTTCGGTGTGAGGCAGAATTTCTCCATCGCAGTTCCACACTGACACCGAGCGAGGTTTAGTGCCGCAAGGCCCACACACAAAGCCTCGTCTCTTTACTCTACTCGTTGTCACATTTCCTCTCTCCTTCCTCCCTGTGAGATGCTGCTGTGAGTGACCTGCAGTGTTACTACAGCACAGTTTCTCAGGATCTTCCAGCACACTCTCAGTGGAGGCCTGAATTTCTTGATCACCCCCCTCATACTCCTCCTCCTCTTCCTCTTCTTCCTCTCCAGGGGGTAAAGAAAACCGAACAGCCTTGACACGATGAACTTCAACAAAGGGCAGGTCAAACTGAAATGATAGAAGTTCTGTTTTTCTGACTGACTCAACTTTTAGTTTTTAGCTTATGTACTTGAATGTCATTTGGTTTTACCTGATCCTGTGTGTTTGTGTGCCTGTGAAGGTATGTGAGAAAGCCCAGAGGGTTAGTTTCTCGCACCAGGATGAGGTCAGCTGTCCCATCGGCCAGGTGGGCGGACGGTGAAAGACCCTTTGGGCTCCGTGGACATGAGCTTGATATACAGGTGAGAGAGATACACTTGAACCTGCCTTCAACAGTCACCCACTCACCTGGGATAAAAACAATTGTAAAAGGTTCAAGATCCTAATATCATTTAGTCATCTTACCATTTTTTTTCTTAATAGTCTACATCACAAATGCTTAATGTCTTTGTACTGTAGGTCTACCCAAGCACACTTTGGTACTTGCATGGCAACGGTCAAATACAGACATACAACATATAAAAACCCCATAGAGAGACACAGCACAGTGTGATCCCAGTAACCGGTCTCTAATGAGATGACAGACAATCTTTATACAAACAGGCAGCAGATGGTCTTACCCTCTAACTCACTGCTGTACTGGCTCACATTAGCGCTGTACAGGGAACTGGAGCTTTCAAAGTGGGGGAACAGCCTCTCTTTGCTCTCTGAACACACTCGGCACCTACAAATGCACACGCAAACATGCTTTTAAAACATTTCTTGGAGCTGTACAAACCAAGACGGAGTGTAATAGCTGGTCAGAGTTATCCGTGAGGACTGCCATTCTCAAAAGCGGTTATTTGGCTGATGAAAGACCCCCTAAAGTATGCGATTTAAATCTTGCTACCTTTGCTCATGGGCATGTAATTCCACATGCAGGTTTAAAAACAAATAGAAACAAATAAAATAAATTAATTAGTATAAAATATTAATTAATTAATTAAAAATATAAATAACAAATATAGATTTTTATAATGATATATATATAATTACATTTTTATCAAATTCTTATATATTTTATTTATTAATTTTTGATTTATTAAAATCCATTAATTTCTTTTTTATTATTATCTTTATTAATTATTATTATTATAATTATTATTATTACTCACTAAAGCCAGTTTAACTCACATTAGGGGCTTTGTGAGTGTTGATTTTGAATGTTGTGTCAGTGGTAATTTAAAGAATAACACATAATGCATAACATTAAGTTGAATAACCAAGAATATTCCTTTAATTCAGCAGTCTTTGCTTTTCCTTTGAGACTAGCATTTCACCAGCTACTCTTCTTCTATTAGAGATCATATTGCTTGAGCGGTCATGGTAACGGCCCTACGGAAGGATCCCCACTTAAGAAAAACACTGAGGAATTCCAGCCACTTGAGTTATGTTGATAAAGTAACTGCTAAGAACACTTCGTTCCCAAAAGATGAGGCCACACTAATCAGAACACTAAGCACCCAACCAAATCCATTCAACATATTCATAAATATAAACTCTACCACTAGTCTACCTATATCAGTCATGGGGGATTTTTTAATGTTCAGACACAGTTCTGAGTTAGTCGTATCCTTCCAGTTCCTGGGATTTTGCACTGTTGCTTGGGTTTTGGCAAGCTGTTCCCAAGCTCAAAAACAGAACAAGAAATACAACCTATTTAAAATGCTCTTTATAGTCAGTGTGTATACAGAGATGGGCACAAATACATCAAAAAGTATTTTGTTACAAATTACAAATACTTACTCATCAAATGTATTTAATTAAATACAAAATGCTGGTGTGAGAAATATATTTAATTAAAATACAAGTAATTTGTAATCTGAAAATACAAAAATACATACAATATTTACAAGTAATCACTTGAAGTGCAAGAGACAGTGCCATTACATTAGAGTAAGATACAACACATTTAGTAATAGTGGAGTTAGATACACACATAAGAGAAAGAGAAGCACTTTCCTCTCCTTGAACAACTTATAAACAACATATTCTTTAACCCTTACACTAGACACTAAAATAATTTTGAGCATTAGCCAGGATGGAGTCTATTTACTTCAGCTTAATTTATTCTTCATATTGTAAAACTTTTAATTGAAGAAGACAGACAAAACTGTCCTTCTACAGACAGAAAATGTAGTAATGAAAAACGCTATCTTTATCCTCGAGAGGTGGGCAGTATGACCAAAAATTATATTTCATATAACAATGTATATCACAATATAGTTATTTTTAATTTATTTGATCGTTATTAGTAAAAAATAAGCACAAAGATGCAAATAACAAACAGCAGAACTAAAACGATTTAGGAAAGAGACATAAATGAAAAGATTATTATAAAAATCCTTTGCTATTCATGTACAGTAGTCTAACAGTAGCATTTCAGTAAAAAATAACAGAAATAATCAAATGTAAAAAAAAAAAAACTGCATAGTCGTTACTTTATGAATTAAATGTAGATTGATCATTGTTAAAGCTACTTAAGTAATTCAGTCAAGAGCAGGGAGTTATTTTCTGTCTTATTACAATAAAAGATAAAGACGGCAGCAGGTATGTTAGGCTGCTTTCACTTTAAGACGCACACATGGATCCAATATATCGATCGACATTAGACACAACCGACTGTTTACGTGCCATACCATCAAGCATGTATATGCTTTATTTTTTATTCATGTTTCTTTATCGCTCCAACGCGTCAAAAATTAAGCAGTCCTGTGGAACAAGATGTACAGCGCTCTCTCCCACCTTCAATACCACGACTGAGGCGCCCTTGAGCAAGGCACCGAAACCCCAACTGCTCCCTGGGCGCCACAGCAAAAAATGGCTGCCCACTGCTCCGGGTGTGTGTTCACGGTGTGTGCGTGTTCACTGCTGTGTGTGTGCACTTTGGATGGGATAAATGCAGAGCACTAATTCCGAGTATGGGTCACCATACTTGGCCACATGTCACGTCACTTATATTATATTGTCATACTGCCTAGTCCTACTCAAGAGGATGGATCAAGCAATTTCACTGTCAACAATGAAGATTAACTCCTAAAAATGCTCATATTTAGCTGTTAAAGGGGCTCTATGTAGAATTCAGAAACCCTTGTTAGCGACACCGGTGGCCATTACACCGGTTAACTCCATAGTTATGCGAGCGAGTGACGACCAAAACGGGATTCACTGATTCAAGTGGGATTCACTGGCATTATGTCGACAGATGAGGTTAATTAAATTTATGATAGTTTCCTTTGGATTTTCCTTCACATAAAAATCGGTCAACAGGTTTCATTTTTTTTTTTTTTAAGTTTCATTACATGCTGTTCACACATTGGCAGTGATGAATACTTGAAAATGCTTTCATAATGCTTTCATTTTGCCCATAGAAACAAGTAGCTAATTTTAGCTAGCAAGCAAATTCACAAGTTCTAAAGCAGCACAGCTATTTACAAATTGCTCTTTTCTTCTGTCATGTAATGACATTCAGTGAGCAATATCTGATAGTATATATTTTAGTACATACTTAACCAGTTAGCACTGAGCACCAAAACGGCTTCTTTCATTGTTTTTTCCAGTTGGATCCAACCATGGGCGAATTAAGACTCCATCTATGGATCCAACAGGATGTCATATGATTCACTTGCATCTAGCCAAAAACTGATATATAGAGGATATAGTTGATAGTAGTATTAACACAGGTGAAGAAAGTTATTGTATTATCTGAGAATATGATGACATACTTGATTAAGTATTTTAAATATTTCAAATACAAAATACTGTCTCTCAAAGTATTTAATTATAAATGACATTTATTTACATTTTGTTTTGTCCAGCAAAATACGATTTTAAATAAATAAATACATATTTTAAATACATTTATTTAAAATACTGCCCATCTCTAAAAGTTTTCATATAAACCTACACTGTAAAAAAATATTTTTCAAACATGTAAACAAAGATTATTGGAGTATGTTTTACAAGAAAATACTTTTTCAGTCTTTCTACTTCAGAATTTGAAGTTTAACTGAATTTGTTAATTGCTGTTTCTCTGAAATTTACTAGCAATTTCTGAGTGAAAATGATTTCTACACCATTTTTTTTGTCAGTGTATATATTTATATGCAAGTAAAATGTTTCTAATGTGATTTCCAGGTAAAAGGACGAATGCAAATCTTTACCCTGAGAGGCAGCGAGTGTTGTCCCGTGGGCTGGAGATATGGGAATCAGCAGGGAGGTATTGCACTAGTCCTGGATAGCTCCTGTTACTCAAGTACACCATACAACCTACAAGCAGAGCAAACAGACAAGGAAATACAATCAGAGATGGGACTGAGGACTCTTTCTCCTCTCACAATTATGATTATAAGTATTAAGGTAAGTAATAAGTGTTGACCTATCAGTATTCCGTATAAACTATATTTTCAAGTGATTTAAAGACAGTTGACTCCTTCCGTTGATACCTGAATAATCATATCTGAGAGGGCCCATCCAGCGGTGCCTCTCGCTCTCTGCCAAAACATCTCCATAGAAACCGTAGCCCACCATAGAGACAGAATAACGCACCAATGTTGACTGATAATGGACAGAACACACATCCAGAGGCTGAGAGTCTCCTGGTGAGTGAAAAAGGAAAAAGATCCAGTTATGTAGTCTATTCATCCTTACTCATATTTCTGTTTTCTAATCTATTTAATATTGTGTTGAAACAGATAAGATTTTTAAAGAAAAAAAAATCAAAGAAATTTAAATAATAATAATAAAATATAATAAAAAAAAGTATATTAATATGTGAAAAAATATGTTTAGACCTTATAGACCAATGGTCGGCAACCTTAGGCACATTTGTTACAACTGGTAGCTTTACCACGTGAGTGATAAGACAGAGTGGAACATTATTTTTATATTCTTCCTTTTTAAATATTTAATTAAAACTGCATATGTTCGTAATTTTATTTAGGGCTGCTGTACTGTGGGTCATTCTGCACGGTTTAATTGCATTCAAAATCAACACTCACAAAGCCCCTAATGTGAGTTAAACTGGCTTTAGTGAGTAATAATAATAATTAATAAAGATAATAATACAAAATAAATTAATGGATTTTAATAAATCAAAAATTAATTTAAAAAAATGGTTTATTGCTCTTAAATTTTTTTTGAAAATGTTGCAGACACCCATTGAAGATGATGTGAAGGTTACCAATGATGATGTGCAGCGTCGATGTCACAGGGTCATTAATGCCCATGGTAGTGAAACACACACAATCTGTAGAGCCTGTGGAGAAGAGTAAACACAAGCAGGTAAACTAACACTCCTCTCACTATCTAAACCATGCATCTGACTGATACATCAGTGCTATGAACAGACTGCAATCGCCACCCTCTTCCACACATGTCAGTCACGGAGCTATGCAAACATTCACCTGCTGGAATAATGCCAATGTGGAGGTCACACGGCTGCAGCATTACGGTCGGGTCATGTTCTGAAACTCCCGCCTCCTGCTGGGTTCGTCCAATCACACCGTGCAGCAGCTCGCTGAACATGCCGTCTCCACCCACGCAAATGACACTGAAGGGAAAAAAAAGATTTGACTGAAAATATGGAAGATCTTTTAATAACCTTCCTAAAACCTAAATATAGAGTATTATCAGCAGACTTAATCGAAATATATTTCTATGATTACCCTTTTGGTATTTAGGCAACACTTCTGTTTAAACAGCAAAATATGAAGGACGGGCTCATATGACATGAACTATTACAATGACACCATTGTTACCACACTTCCTTGAATCTTTATTCATGAGGAATGACCACAGAAGGATAACTTACCCATCAAACCCTGTTAAGTCTTTCTTCAGGATGTAGTCTCTGGCCTGATTTGCTCGTTCAGTCGCTAGAAACAAGAAACATCCCCCAGTTTTATTTCAAATCGCTCTATATCTTTTTAAAGGGGTCATATAATGTGAAACCTAGTTTTCCTTGATCTTTTGAAATAACAGAGTTGCTCCATGTATGAATTGTCAGTACACAAAACCAGTCCAAAAATATAATTTATTAAATTTACATTATTAGCACTATTACTCATTTCATAATTAAACCAATCATCATACTTTTTTTAATTATTATTAATAATTAAACATGCTGGGGAAAAATATTATATACAGTATAAAAGGCTGCCTGACCTCAAATTTTTTAATGATAGTGTGCATTTATGTAATGTTGTATAGTATAGTATAGTATAGTATACTTTTTTTAAAGAATGTGTTGCATATTTAGTTATAAAATAAAAATAGACTATAAAAATAAACAAATAATGCCAACTAATAATAGGGACATGCTATTTTGCCACAAAATGTAATTAATTTGATTATATAACTTCGCTACTTAATTGAGCCCTCTTACCAAGTCTCGATAAAGATCTACGGGTGTTACTTGAGAACCGTACTACCTGACGTGCACGGCGTATCACAGACCAAGCAGGGGGACACTTGATAACTGCTCAGTTATTGAACGGTACAGATAGAGTCTCAGTATCTCACCCACAACATGAGAGCTGATGCCAGCCAGCTCAAACAGAGGGGCCACTAGAGAGTGAAAGATCTGTTTCCCCCTCTTCTTTCCTCCAAAAGGATTAATGAACACCAACAACTGGTGAGGACGCGAGGGGCCTGAGAAAGGAGGAGTAGATGAAGGGAGAGATGTTAATGAGTCATTAGAGAATAATGAGTGTGGATGAATGATTAAGGCTGTTGTTTTCAGCTTTACATACTGTGGGTTTTGAGTGCGGTTCGGAGTTGAGTGATCCATTGATCCCGGACACCCCGGCTAGGACAGCAGAACTGGGTCCTGCCCAGACTCCATGGTGCTCTAATGCCATTTCCTTTGCTGTTGCGCTTCACATAGAATACTTACGCGATTAGAAAAAGACAAAAACAAGTTTAGTCTAACGCCACTGTATTTGATCCCTATGCAAAAATTCACTTTCAGAAACTTACATGTAAAATCAAGATCAGTGTCCTCTACTTTCTTCTGGGGTTGGATCTCAACTCGACCCTCCTTCACCCCAATCACCTCTGACACCGGCACTGAAACTAAGAACAACAGACAGACACTTTACGCTCTTGCATAAGTGATATACCCGTTTCTCATATTCTCAAGAAACATTCCACCATTCCTACTCAGGCCTTTTTTTTAAGCAGACGTCTTTTATGTTCAAGGTGTACCGTGTTTTTTGTCAAGCCTGGATGGTGCTGTTCAACTCGTTTTGAGGTCGTCAGAATGCAGTCAAAGACAAATTGTCAGTAAGCAGGGACTTTCAAACATTATTTTCATTCATCAGATGAGCATTGAGCAATACACTTATATGTTTTGGGATTATTCTATTGAATCCAATCCAACTCTGTCTCTGGATCATGTTCCAACATCTATATTGTAAAGCAAATAAAAGAAACTCAAATAGAACTATGGATATATAGCACACAAAGTATGACTAATCTTTTTCTGTATTTCTTGTCAATAATTAAACTAATAATAATGGTGCACTCAGCATCAAATCATATGGTGGTTAATCATTTACATATAAACGACTGATGTGTCAAAGGTACAGTCAGTACGTTTTTATGGCTCTTCTTCATCCAAATACTAATTATTAACAGCAAATTATTCTATTATTATTTTTAATATTTTTGTTACTTATTAACAATAAATGCTGTTGACCTGGGCTCATATATTATTAAACATACTATTATTATTAATATCAGTACCTCAGTCCATTACGTACAAAGGTGGTCTTTTTCTTTAGAAGACAGCAATCTTCATCTCATGTGAGTAAATAATTTTTATATTTCTCAAAATTGCTATTTATTTCTTTGCACAAAATGTTTATACGAAGCAGAAAATGACTGTGTCATTAATCAAAAATACTGGTAAATTATGCATTTAAATTATTATATTGCAATTAATTATCTACCAAAATACGAGTGGCTTTAAGCGACTAATGGTTCAAATGTGCACTCATTAAGTTTTTCTTTCTATTGCTCTTCTTTATGTCAATACCAATCATTATTAGCAAATTATTTTATTTTAATTTAAATGTTTTTTTTTGTTACTTATTAAAAATAAATGCTATTGACTTAGGATTATATTACTAAACATTGTTAATTAATAATATTAGTAACTCAGATGGTCATGTGATGTCAACATGGCAGCGCCCATGAGGGGGCGATATATATATATAAATAAATCATATATATATAAAAAGACTGGAGTCTTCATCTCATGTGAGTAAACATAATAAAAAATTATTTTTGAATCTCTCAAAAGTGCTATTCATTACGTTTATAATTATAAAAAAATGACGGAGTGCGCCCTTAATCGAATGGAATGCATTTAAAGAATTTTGCGGTTACTCATCTACAAATAATAGTGACTTAAAGCAAATAACATTCACCGAAAACAATTACTACCTCAGTATAGGACCTTTATATCCCATGTAATTTTGTCATACACCCTAAGCACACCCACAATATGATATTGAGTACACGTATTAGCTTTTAAACCGACTAAGAAATGAAACAAGATATAAATAAATATTTATCTACCAAGCTATCTGCTTTAAATAACAAACAGCTGTCTTAAAACTTTGTCTGCCTGTCTACAGCACCTAGACCGCATTATCGGGCCTCAGGTGAGTCAAAAAAGATCAAGAATGTCGTACTTGTTTTCTTCTCCCGGTTTCTCTTGTCGATCTCAGTCCAGCTGAAGTACCATCCACTCAGGAAAGCCCTGTAGCGTTTATTACCGATCCACAGACTCGACTCGACTCTCTCCGAATCGATCTCCATCGCCTCTCTAGTAGCCTTTCATTTATCTAATAAACTTCATGGTCCTACAAGCATTCAGCGATATTTTTATCTATGCAAGAATTTCGAAGTTGGTCAAGACGTCTAACATTTGAAGCGAACAAATCTAAGCTTTAAGTATGTTTAGACGTTGGTTAAAAAGAGCCTCCGTGTGACATAAGTTTATGTAAGGTAAGTTCCGATACATTAACCCGGCTGCGTCTTCTTTGCTATTAAATGCTTTACCTATTTGACTGTTCATGCACCTGTCCTGGAAAATTTGCATACGCAACTCTCATTGGATAAACATTACATGAATATGCAGATTGTAACCGTAATTCATTATTGTAACAGATCAGGCAAAACGGGCTACTTTCAAAAGCGTTCTTTTAGGAAGTTAATTTCAACTTTATGAAATAAAACTTAATTTACGGTGTCTCGTGTTATGAATAAGTTAGGTTTTATGGATTTTAATGTTGGAATAAGTTCTGTCTGTGCAATGGTGGGCGGAGCTAGTGAAATGCATAGCCTACTACATATAAATAATCTGTAAATGGACGCTGTCGAAATATAAATTATGTATGGACAAATAAAATCACCGTATAACCTGATGGGAATAGCAATAACAGATAGGATATTAATGTAAGCTTGTCCTTTTTCTGCAACCTTTGTTTTTACAGTCAACATACAGTTGGTGACTGACTGGTATGACTAGATGACATGACGGTTGAAATGTGTTATGGAGTGTCATGTTTTTGTTTTGTTTGTTTTTTTGTTGGTGCTGGATGCAATAACTGAGATTATTCTGAACACATACAATATGGACATCAAGTGTCACAAACACAAGTGCCAGTCTTGCTTGACTGCATTAAGCACACCTTACTCATCGTTGGTCTATTTTTGTGTTTCTTCTCTTCCTTTACATGAATATGCAGATTGTAACCGTAATTCATTATTGTAACAGATCAGGCAAAACGGGCTACTTTCAAAAGCGTTCTTTTAGGAAGTTAATTTCAACTTTATGAAATAAAACTTAATTTACGGTGTCTCGTGTTATGAATAAGTTAGGTTTTATGGATTTTAATGTTGGAATAAGTTCTGTCTGTGCAATGGTGGGCGGAGCTAGTGAAATGCATAGCCTACTACATATAAATAATCTGTAAATGGACGCTGTCGAAATATAAATTATGTATGGATAAATAAAATCACCGTATAACCTGATGGGAATAGCAATAACAGATAGGATATTAATGTAAGCTTGTCCTTTTTCTGCAACCTTTGTTTTTACAGTCAACATACAGTTGGTGACTGACTGGTATGACTAGATGACATGACGGTTGAAATGTGTTATGGAGTGTCATGTTTTTGTTTTGTTTGTTTTTTTCTTGGTGCTGGATGCAATAACAGATTATTCTGAACACATACAATATGGACATCAAGTGTCACAAACACAAGTGCCAGTCTTGCTTGACTGCATTAAGCACACCTTACTCATCGTTGGTCTATTTTTGTGTTTCTTCTCTTCCTTTATATAAATCAGGAAAGTTGACTTTCCTGAAAAGCTGCTTAACTCACCTGACTGCAACATGAAAAGGATTCCCTAAAGATTGTATCTCCAAACAGAATTGGAAGTAATCAAATCGTAAAAGTTTTTTTTAAATTGCCTTCACATGCTAACATGTAAGAATAAAAAAGTTGCATGCATCCTTTGTCGCTAATCATTATTTTATTTTCATATTGTATGACATGCCATCATTTATATTGATTTAGACCTTAATTAAAGTGGGAATGACACAAAAAAAGACCTATGCCCTCCCAAAAGAAACCCTTTTCAGTATTTTCCAGTCTTAGAACAGTTACTTGTAACTTCCAGCAGGTGGAGACAACAGTTTAGATATGCATATACACGGCTCGTAACAAAATACAACTGACATTGCTTTTGCTAAATTTAATGAGATACCTGCTATAATCAATAAGATTATTCAATATTCATTTTTTCTTCTACGTTTTCATTTTTTAGATTATTTTCCGATATTCATGTGTTCCTTTCAGGCATAATTTTCCCTCTCAAGCTGTCATTTTGGCAACTTGGATGTGAGGGTATAAAGAAACTTAATCCAAAATCATTGAGGCGTGAGCTATTTAATTACAGTCAGCTACATCATCAAATGTAACAATCTGACATCATCCATTTCGTGTCACAAGCAACATGCGTCTGCATTTCCACAGATACAGTGATGCATCTTGGCTGCTTTCTCAATAATCATTCTCTAGTTTTGTTTAGGAGTTGCTAAAGGAAATCCAGCTGGGCAGATGAAGTCTAAATTGAAAACAGCTGCTCTACAAACTCATGGCAAGACAGAGGCATATTTTGTCCCCGTTATGGATGTGACTGGGCATGGAAACAGATCCTGTGCAGATGTCCTTGTGATATTGGTTGGAGAAAATTCTGAATGGCTGAACAGAAAGAGATGACAGAAGTGATCGGGGGAGTGTTTAAACGCTTCTTTATGCACTTGTTTGAGTTAGTTTCTAATAGCCAAAGATAGGCAGTCTTGGACCATCACTGGTGGCTTCACAGTTTTATAGATTTATAATTTGCGCTTTCTTTCAGGGTAAGGAGGTCAACATAATTTTAGGCTAAAAAAAGAGAGAGTCTGCCAAGAGAAATGTGAATAATATGTGAAAAAATATCCAGCTGTAATCAACATTGACATCTTCAGCAGAGAGTTTTAAGAGCGTCATGAGTTATGCGTCATTAGGTGGTGCTACTGCCACAAAGTGATCTAAACCAGAGCACATTTATTTGGAGACTGTGCAGTGCTTAACAGCAAACAATAAACTTTAAGCTCATGAACAGTCGTCGTAATCAAAAGTGATATAACTTTGGCTTTAACTTTGGAATAATTTTGACTTTACAAAACAACTATACTTTCAGAAAATGAATAATACAAAAAATAATAACCAAAATACTGTAATAGTCACCAACATTTATAAACATTTAATTGTAATCATTTTATATCAACTTTATTAATGTTTCTTTCGGCATCTTTCAAAATCAAGCTGAAGTCACATTTTACTTATATAGCAAATACTCATGATTCACAGGCCTTAGATGTAGAGCTGTAAATTCAGGTTTTGCTTTTTAAATCATATTTAAAAGTCAGATGCTTTCTGATTATTTGTCATTGGTGTTGTTTTAAAATATGATGTCAAATAACACCATACAATTTTAAATAGCTAATAAATCTCTAAAACCAACACTACGCAGGTAAAATTATTAAATAATAATAATTTTATATTTTTGCTATAAATGTAAGTGTTCTGCATAACCTGTATTCATATAGACAAATAGGCGCCAGTGGTCAGAGATTTTTAGCAGGCTGTACAGTCATTTAACCCTCCTATACCTTTTGGAGTTAGTTTAACTAGTTAGCTCAAATTAGTGATGCCTTGGAAAGCCTTTGATGTTGACAAGACTTACCGTTAGCATGTGATCCGGTGTTTTATCAAATATTTAGTTTATTTTATTATTATTATTGTAAAAAAAATATATACAACTGGCATTGCATATTCATTTTGTTATAGTGTAATATGCATTTGGCATATTGAACATATTTGCATATTTTTAAATGAGCTTATTTGCATTTTTTAAACACCTGGTAAAGTTACAGTACAAAGCATATATTGTGTATTTTTCATGTAAACTTTCATTTTGTTTAAAAATGTTTGTTAAAAAAAATGTTTCTAATACATGAAGTATTTCTCCTTAGTAGAGGCGTAGTCCAGCTGTAAGATCCCGCTCCCGGAATTCCATTCCGCCTTTTTACGCCAGGCGCTGGAAGGCTGTGGCTCAAATCCTAGTGAGCTGCCTATCTAGACAACATATTTGGGCGTCATTCTTCTGGGCATCGTATACGTTTCGAGTGGCTTTCCGCGTCTGCTGAGCAGACCCCAAATATGCTGTCTACCTAGGCAACTCGCTAGGATTTGAGACACGGCCATCGTTAACGGTTCAACATCATCGCACTGAAGTGATCTGCTAAGGCAGTGCATGCTGAACCTTCTGCTGCCCAAGAGAACAAAACGGATATTCACAAGTCAACCATCAGTTTCTCTTCGTGTTATCTCACAAGGGCTCAACAGCAGACGGATTTCTTTCTTTTTTGGTAAATGAAGTCCCACCAAGTGTGGGACGGAGAAGCGACGGCGGCCCTGCTGTAAAAGAAACGCTTCAAACTTTTGCGAATAAATATAATTCTCAGTGGCTTCAAGTGGCGGACTTTGATTTTCCCAGCGGCGTGTTTGGAGTCGTGCTGGGTTGGCAGAAATGGGGACGCGGATACGTGCCCATAAACTCACTCTTTTTATCATCCCTTTGATATTTACATCGCATGTGTTTAATGTAAGTGATGCATTTGCATTTTTATACGCTTTTAATATATCACACCGCCCTGCCCTTTTGTAACAGGTAACTGTATCAATGGAAATGCAGACTGAAAGTTACTTTGCAAAACTTTGAGCTGTTATATAATCCATTGATTTTCAATCCGTTCTTTTTGCAGCATTTAGTAAATCGCGAACTGTATCATGTGACCGTTTTGTTAACTTGCATCGATCTCTGACGCCTATCTAAAGCTCGACTCAAGTGTTGCATGTGTGTTTTAGTCCTGGTCTAATTTTAAACATAGAAACGAGCTATTCATAGTTGGTCTCACTGGCGTCTTGCATGTCTGTATACTTGGACAACTTTATTTCTCTTGACACTCATTGATTTAGAGCACTTTCATTGCACATTAACTTAAGAAAAGTCATGGCTCTAGCATTTAAACTCTTATTATTGATGATGTATACATCCTATAAGATACTGTTAATTCTGTTCAGTCATGCACATTAACTTATTTTACCTTAATTAACTGACATACGTGTTATGTAATAGTTGAATAGTATGTATATTTTATTGTTTATCTTAGTTGCAAGTGAAAAAAGAAGCGGTTCATCTTGATTATGGGTGGTATGATCTAAGCCTGTTCTGTGATTGCTTCCTTTCCCATGTTGTCATGATTAAAGTAATGCATATAGACTAATTTTACCCCTCCTGTGCTTTTCATAAATCACAAAAACTTATGCATAGACTTGCTTATTGATATGTTTATTATCAGGCACTCGTAACGATTGATACTGATACTCTTGTGAAAGCTATCTTTGAATTCTTAGTTTTACTATGACATTGTGCATTAACTTAAGAGGTTTATACAGTAACGGTTTGATAAAGTATATTGCAGTTAAAATAAACACTGTCTGAATGAGGCAAAGCAGCCAATCTAATGAGCAGGTATGAAAGTTAATGTGAAAAACAAATACCTACATCTCATCTTTCTTGGTACCTGTAATACTGTACTATTTCCAGCTTGCTGGTAGATTCATTTTAACTTTATTGCTTATGTAGGTGGAGAGTTACTGACTGGAATTGATCTGTTGCAATAGCATGTGAAATTACTTTTACACCACATAGTGGAAAGTAAATCAGTTTTTTTTTTAAAATGCTGCACTATTTTGCATAAAGTTGAACTATTGTTGAAGTAGCCTATACAGTAAGCTGAACATGAAGTTGCCATTGTTGATCTGTTCCATGTAAAGCATATAAAATGTACTTTCGCTGATCGTAAAGTACCATAAACCACCTTTTTTTTAGGAGGGAGATTTTTAGCAGGCTGTACAGTCATTTACCCCCTCCTGTACTTTTTGGAGTTAGTTTAACTAGTTAGCTCAAATTAGTGATGCCTTGGAAAGCCTTTGATGTTGAATCCTCTAAAAATCCTCTGGGTCACATGCTAACGGAAAGTCTTGTCATGTATAACTTGAGATTCTTTAAATCGACTTGCGTTCATCCTGCATACCATGTGTAATCCATCCCTTATCATTCAGACACTAGTGAACGTGAGCCTCTCTTAGTTTACTGATGTGTGGCAGGGGCCCATCACCTTTGGTAATTTGAGATCTTCACTGCTTTGTCTCAGGGACTTCTATGTCAATTGCAATATAATTGAATTAAATGGAAGCAGTGCCATGTGTTTTTTTCCATTACAAGCCTGCCTAAGATTTGACAAAGAGTTCATTTCATTCAGTTGAACACTTAGGGCTTCAGTTGCCACCGGCATTCCTGGTGTCCTACTGGAATTTCAGAGTCATAAGTATCAATCAGCACTGACAAAACCCCAATAAAAGCACTTTATTACCTTTTAGTTTACTGACACAATCAAGTGCTCCCTCCCTGCTGTTAACTATCAATGGCTTGGTAATTGAGAGACGGTTCTTTGCTATTTATTGACGCATGTAATTTTTGGGTTAAATTGGCTACTTGTGAGGTCGTTGAAGTTTTGTGTGATGATAAAGAAGGGTTGCAAGTGGGTTCATGCCCAGTGTCGCTCCTTTTGCTTTTAGCTTGTTTGACCTTTATTTGAGATGAAGAAAAATGTAGGAAGCACCTTTGGGAACTGAAGACCTGCAGTTATTGAAAGTTTCAGTTCACATAAGCAAATCCAGTTTATGTATAGTTGGGACTTGGGAGTGATTTTATTTTAAGTTGTACTTAATACCAAAGCCATTATTTAAAGGGTTAGTTCACAAAAAATATTCTGTCATAATTTACATTATACATGTCTATCCTAACCTGCATGATGTTTTTCTTCTTAGGAACACAAAAGAAGATATTTAGAAAAATGTTTCGGTGTTTTTTGTCTATACAATGTAAGTCAATGGGGTGAAGTGTCATTTTGGACCTCACTGATTTTGATTATATGGACAAAAAATGTTTTTCAAACTATCTTTTTTTTAAAGTTTTTAAAATCAGATTATGAATTTTCATTTTTCTCTGAACCATCCCTTTAAAAGTAGGTAGTTATTATTAGCTCTGTTTTGACTCTACAAAGCCTTTTATGTGTTGGACGTTTGTCCCATGATGTCCAGCGTTACGCCATGCTATTTTATTTTGAGATGTCTCTGGTTAGAGAGTCAGAAGTATATCCTGACTTCATCAGGGGAGCATTTTAAGGTAGGTCTGGATTCCTGTGGATATATTGGGTTTACTGCTTCAGACCGTAGTTACAAACACATTTCTGTTGTGTCGTTCACCTTCTTGGCCTCCCTAGTATGCCCACATTTACTGTATCTTATGCAATATCTAGATATAATCCAGCCATCCTGGTCAATTTAACACCCACGTGGTCTTCCAAGTAAGCGCAGAGGAATCTAGCGCACAGCGTTGGGATAACTGGGCCCATGTTCAATGAGATTTTAAGGACAGGAGATTATTAATGGTCTCAGTGTGCGCTTCTATACATCTTGTTTGTGAGCTTCATGTCAACCTAATATGGTGTTACATTCAGCAAATGCTAGGTACTTCGATTTATTGCTGTATAATCAGACATTTTGAAATGGCATTTATGGCAGTTTAGAAAAAATGTATGCTACGCTCTTTAAAATAAAGATTCTAAAAGGGGGGTTTCACAGCGGGGGTTTCTCATCACCATTTTGGATTCTTTTGTTCAATGATAAGGGCAGTCGTGGCCTAATGGTTAGAGAGTTGGACTTGTAACCCAAAGGTTGTGGGTTCGAGTCTCGGTACCGGCAGGGATAACCCTCTTCCACCCTCAATACCATGACTGAGGTGAGACCCTTGACTTGAGCAAGGCACCCAACCCTCAACTGCTCCCCAGGCATCACAGCAAAAATGACTGGCCATTTTTGCACACCACTGCTCAGGGTGTGTGTTCACTACTGACTGCTGTGTGTGTGTACTTGGATGGGTGAAATGCAGAGCAAAAATTGAGTATGGGACACCATACTTGGCCACACTTCACTTCGTCACTTCACTTCAGGTTTCGTGGATGCTAAAGGCTCTTCATGGAAACATTGATGCCAATAAATAAACGTTATTTTTAAGAATGTAGTTTAATCTGACACCTCTCAGATTTTAATGTTTGCATTTGGCAAAAGCTTGTATCCAAAGTGATTTGTGTTGCATTCACAGAGAATATGCATATTGATAAATTGTAAAGCATAAGTGTACTGCAAGTGAATATATCTAAACGTTAAAAGCCATGGCACCTTACCGTTTTAAGTTTTTGTTTCTGTGATGAAGTGCTAAATAGTGTCTCAGACCCCTGAAAAACTTTGTAGTTGTTTTTTTTAGTATTGCATAATTTTCTGTACTAAAATATCTGTATGATTTTGGCTAAAACTAGAAAAAAATGTGTTCTGTACAACATAACTATTTATGGAGTTTTGTTTATTTGGACCTTACCTTATTTTTTTCATCTAGATTACCTTTGCTGTCTAGCTATTTTTTTAAAACTCATATAATTCAAATCTTTAACAATTTAGTTTAATTTAATTGTAAATAAGTTGAGTGTTTAATATTTGGCAGATCTCTATCCTTTTTTTTCAGCTATTAGCCATAACATTAAATTAATGATCAACTTACTGCATCTAGAATTGTAATATTGGTATATCCTCAATTTTTCCTTTTTTTCAGTTACAGGTCTACAGTATGCCTAATTGATATATGGAGTAAGTGCTATCAACAATCCCTTTTAACGTCACACTGTTTTTCATCAGAATAGCATCCCTATGCATGATATCAACGTTTCCATATCACTCAATACATGTCATCGTAGGTGGTTTTTGCCAGTGCTTGCTGGATATTTATGGCAAGATGAAGTTGTAAAGAGTGTCTCGCTCGATCTTGTGAAAACAGCGTGTGAATGGAGTCTTCAGCAGAGACCTCTTCTTCCATTAATCTATGACAAGCCTCAGCTTGCCCCAGAAAGATAGGCGCTACTTTTTCCAAGCCTCCTGCAAACCCCCATAGGATGCGAGTTCTCCCAGGCTGTTATTACACCAGTGAGATCATGCCAAGAAAGAATAAAGAATTTCAGTGCCCTCAGGTCAAAGTATATGTCAAAGCGAAAGGAAAATAAAAACGAGAAGATAGACGATGGAGCATTTGATTTTGTAAACGCTCCTTTTATCAATTTACAAGAAAGGGCCAAAAAGGTAAATCACATCTTTGTTATATCTGGTGTTCGGTGAATAAAAAAAGGCCACAAAGACTTGCTTTGCAGTGTTTAACCAAAACAAAAGTGTAGAGGTGCGTCTAAGTGGCTTTTTAACTAGAGCCATTGACCTAGTGTCCCCTGATATATTGATTGAGTGCACTGTTGGTCATATACTTTCTTTTGAAGTGGTTGCCAGGGTCTGTCACGGTTTGCTGTGCTGCAGTCGGCCCATTTGAGCATTCGGACTACTATTCAGCATATTAGCCACCTTCTCTACACCACTCTGCCTGCTGGATTCAACCGAAGAGGCCACAGATCAAACTAGTTGAGCCACGAGGCTGATTAA